CTTCATATACATAGATTTATTCAACTGAGTCTAATTATACCATCTATATATATTGGAATAGAAAAGAAAACTTGATTTTGTGGAATCTCGATTCCAGTAGTGCGTGTAGAACATTTTTTTATTTATCTCTCCCAAAATTCAAATTTGCGTTTGGGTATGATACATTTAAAGTTGTACGAATGTATGTACATACAAAAATATATATATTTTCTCACTTATTATACATTTTCTTTAATGTATTATTATACGTTTTCAACGAATTGCAATTTGAAAAGTTAAAAATATTTTATTGTAAGTTTTGTTATATTATAAGGTAGAAAAATTAGAAATAAATTGGAAGTCATCAATTGAATCGAGACCCAAGTTTTTCTTTCTGTTCCACTTACGTATATTACTCATACATATGAAGCATTCTACGTCAAAGACTTTTGCCAGAGACCTTTGAAACCGTCATTTTTATTTTTTTTGGTGAAGTTATTAACATGGAATGCCTCATATATAGAAAAATCCAAAAAGTAAAAACAAATTACAAAAAAATTTCATTTAAACCCATTTTCGAAACCGATTATAGCGGACTTTAGCTCCATTCTTCTAACAAATTTTTCGAGCGAATAGCACTCTCTTTAGTTAATAGAAGATAGGATATTACAACTTCTGACCGTTACTTTTTCAAAACTAATTGGACATCTGGGTAACCTCTCTTGTTAGTTATTCATTCTGTATATAAACGAAAGCTAAAAGTTAAAATTCAAGTATAATGAAATCCGTAAAATGACCTATATATTCTATTGATGGCTTTACACTCTGTAAATTTTTTTATTTAAAGCAATATATCGACACGAATAAAAATAATTCTTTAATACAAGAAAAGGCTTTTCGAAGCAACTGAAAAAAAATGTATATCATCTCCACTTCTAAATAACGAAAATATTTTAATCAAAATTTAACAAAATAAAAATGTGCTGTGTTTTCTTATATAATAAGAAAAAATAATATTGTCTCTCTCCTGCATTTGTTAATTTTTTTGTAATATTATGATTGCGATGATTCATAAAGTTAATCGCACTTCCGATAATTAATTACAATTTAGATAAATCTAAATAGTAATTAATCACGTGTCATCGTCATTTTACTGATATCAATTACCTATCTGTCTAATAATTATAATAATGAAATAATGGATTACATTAAAAAAAAAGTAAATTTGATTCAATTTTCGAAATAATAAATACATTATTACTAAATATATTATTACTATGTAAGGCGCGCTGTATAAAGATATGATTAAAATTAAATTAATAATACAAAAACAATACAATCTTTTTACATCTGGGATACAGGACGACCTCGGACGGTATGACCTTAAAATTTAAACAAGTGAAATAACGGTGTTTAAGGAAAACCAACTTTTTCTGTTTGTCGCGTGTTTTACATTTTATCAATGTTATCTTGTCAATTGTTCCGAAACAATGACTAGCTATCGCTTATCGTACAACTTATATTTATAGAAAAAGAATTTTAATTTGCGCAACGGTCTTACTTATTTCTGGTCTAACATAATTTCTAAATTTGCATCTCTCGTGAAGAGAAGGATAATATTGTTTCCTTACTTCAAAAGTAACACAACTCAAAAAATATGATTTTCAAGATATTACCATGAATGAGAGTTAAGTAAAAATTACTCTATCAATCAAAAGTAAACCAACTTAACTTTACAGCCCGTCTGTTAAATATTCCTTGTGTCGTTAAAGAAATCATAATATCTTTTACAAGAGTGACACATCTTGAGTTGCGTCATTTTTGTAAATAAAAAGGAAGATCTTCTACAAAAATTATTTAGAGTTAAAACAGTTTTTATTGATCGAAGTTTGAAAAAAAAGTTTATTATTTTCAATTTAGTCATTTTAGCTGATAAAACTAAATATAAATTTTTTATGATTTTTCGAATTATGTATGTCATTTTTTATGAATTATTCCGGACTTGTTATTATTTTGTAATATATCAAAATTATCACAATTTACAAAAAAGTGACTTTTTAAAATATCATAAAACGAAAATAATAAAAATGACATTTAATCATGTTTCTAAAATATTCTTTTTACCGATATTATTTGATTAGTCAGTAATTTTCTGTTATATAAGTTGAAAAATAGTTTTTCTGAAAAGCTTAATTTTTTTAGTTGTGTCACTTTCGAAATAAAATAACGATTTTTCATAGAAAATAGGGAAGAAAAAGTAAACATATATAGATGTATGTCGTCACTATTCTAAGCGATTCAAAAAATAGGTATCTCACGAAGTATCAATTTAGATGCTATTTGTGACGTAACGCCACGAATTATTATTTACAATGGCACACACGCGTTACGCATTCGTTTCATTGAATTCGTAATGTCATTAATATAATGATCTCCCGATCGCTCTTATTTTACATTCAAGTCCGTAGTATATCAAATTCCGTTGCAATCTCAGCGCAAGCTTGACGCGCCTACTTGCACAGTATACCGATCACTAATTCGACCTTCGTTGAATTAATTCCAATCCTGCGTACGTTCCCGTTGATGCGTGCGATTAATCGATCGCAGTTTGAAATATATACAATATAAATGAGATATAGGATGATCAATGGTGGATCTATGGTCATCCTGTGCTTAGATCACATCTCTGCGCGAACGAAAAGCCTAAGACACAACTGAAAAGCACAGATAATAAAAATAAAACATTTTAACCGCGTATTCAGGTATACGTGATTTCTGATAGGTCGAAGTTTGTTATTTCTTGTTTCTATTGCCTGGTTATTTTTCAAATTATGAATTAAGCTAAAGAATACCTTCGCGCAGCAATTCGCACGGCGAACGCGGCTTTCAGATCGTAATTTTTCTTATTATTGACATTACGGTATTCGTCTGATGTTTTTACATCAATATATTATTATGTCTCACGGGCAAGAACTTGAGGGAGCTTGGCATATACGACCACACGTTGATCATCCGTAACAGCGTGGAATCGACATATAATATTTCTGTACCCAAAATAGCTGGACCAGCCAAACGATGCTGAGCGCGCAGCGCGCTACTTCCCGAAAGAAAAATCTATCGATCTTGCAATAGCGATAGGCTTCCTAGCAATGAGCTCGAGATATATCTCATGCAGCACACACAATGCCAAGTCATATCATCTTTCAGTATATATCCTGCCGGTAATCTTATCGAAATTAACAGTAAAGAAATTTAACGCGTCACTATCGTTTCTGATATTTCTAACTAACTACAACGACAGCGTATTTGTGTAGAAATTAAAAAATATTTTTAACGACAATTTTCGAATTATAGTTGCTTCTTTGTATAATTTTATGTATAATTTTGACATTTACCAATTAAAAAGATAATTTGCGCAAGTTAAATCGTTTACCGAACTAAATACCGAACGTATCATTATAGATAATGCAGATCTAATCAATCGTGTTTCCTTTTTATTTCTTTCTATGAAATACTGAAGTAATTAATTTTTAAGATCAAATATGTAAAAAAATATATACATAATACATATTTTTATAAAATATAATATATTAATAAATAATGTACGATAATATATTATACATATGTATAAACAGTTTATCTTTTCCAAGTTTAGCATGTACACTCATAACACACTCATAAATATACTCGTAATATAATATTGTATAAATATAGATTAACACTCCTTTTTATTTTCTAAACGTAGGAAATTATTGAAAAAGATTAATGAAAAAATTAACTTGTTTATTATCTGATGTCTATTCTTTATAGAATATTTTTGGAAACAAGATCGATTAATTCTGGACTGCCATGACATGCATAAGGTAGAACCTCGGAGGAATTGAAAGTACACATTACACCGGGATCATATAGAAAGCAGTAAACAAATCGGCTATGTTGATCTAACAATTCCACTACGTTGAATTTTATTGTCTAGTCTCTTCGTCTCCCATTCTTCGTAGATTAAACTAGTGATCTATAAAAGAAATCGCACTTAATTAAAATTGAATTGACACGGACGAAATCAAAGATCCCATGTCCGATCGTCTCCATATCGCGCGATACTAAAAAGCCAGAACATTCTATTCTCTTCGCTATTTTTTTGTCCGATATACGTCTACCGTAATTTACCTGGTGATTCGCAATTTTACCTGGAAGTGTGATACACGACGGTAAAGTTTAAACACTGAACCGTCGCGACGCAATTGGTCGTTCTTTTGCGCTACACCTCTAAAAGGTATTCCGAATTATACATATTGCTTTTAGTGGCGTCGCAATTCGACAAATTGAGCTCAATTTACGGCGAATTCATGGTTTATCCTATATCCATTTAATGCGAAGGTTTACGTATATATTTAAGAAGAACGATCGACGAACTCTACCTCTTTCAAGAAAATGAACAATAAACGAACGCGGATTTTCTTTCGATGAATTTTGAAAGAGTTATAAATCGTATCGAGAGCGCAAATACATTCTTCGTGTTCGGTTTGCGTTCGAGGTGACTCGCTTGTCATCGGGATACATTAAAAAGAGTTTCAAATAACTTCGTATGTTCACTGCTCATTTGTTGTTCATTTTTGCTCAATATATTCAATTTTAAAGACGCACAGCGCCCTAAAATATCATTAATTGTAGATATATAAAGACTAAATTATTTAAATCTTTAAATTAATGTTAAAGGTTTAAACGAAAATTTAATTTTTGTCCAGAATTATATTTCTGTTAATTAATGATCATAAGATAAATTAAGAACTTTGTTTGTATGTATACTTCTTTATGTAATAGTATGAAGACTAAATTTACATGAAAATTCTGATCATAATTAAACTAGTTGTGTCTTTATATATCTGATATCTATTACCGTACAGCTCACGAACAAATGGAAGATGTCTCGCCGATTATGCGTTTTTAAAAGTTCATCACTTCCATCTTGAAGGCTCTACCCTTCATCGCTTTATTAGCTATTTTATTCATAGTCGGTGCAGTATTCATATCATCATCGCTATTAATGTCTTCATCTTCTTCCGGGAAGTCCTCGAGTCGATCATGATACTCGTCAAGCTAAAAATAAAAAAATTCACAACGTTAAATATTTATTAAAGTGATATAATAAATCAGCTATGAGAATTACAGGCTGCGATCTTGACTTTTGCAGTAAAAATACAACATTGAAAGAATTACTCTTTTTTAATCGCAGTTTGCAGACTCGCTCTATGTAGTAAGAATCGTCTTTCTAATTCTGAAAACCGTAAAAAGAGGAGCATTTCAATACCGACGATTAAAGTTGCATACGCCTCACCAAAAATCGATAGGTTTAGTATCATAAGTGATCTAGATTTTGCATAAACTTTTGTTCAAGTTTCATCCACATTCGTCAGTGCATAAAAATCGAAGAAACAAATAGCACGCACTTCTAAACAGAAACTATTTGTAAACTTCCGATTTCCGCAAATTATAAACTTTTAGAACGCGATCCAGGATTCATAAATAGCTTCTACTTCTAAACTGTTTGCTTTAATCTTACTTCTACATGGTGAAAAGGCTAGTTGGACAAGGATCTAGAACAATCTACTCTACGTGAATATACAATTAGTGTTGGCAGATCACTTCTAATTCTCAACCCATTAATTGTACTGTCCTATATACAGAGTGAATCTTAATGAATATTTCAATGTTTTACCATAGGAGGTAATATTTCACTCTCTCTTATACGTGGATTTCACTCTCTCTTATGTATTACAGTCGGTAATTTATCTCCTATGATAAAACGTTGAGACATTCATTATAATTCAATCTATATATACATGAGCGTTTCTGGTGAAGTTTCATTCCTGGTGAAGCATAACATAAATCCTGACAAGAATTGTGATTCGTCATATTTGACATGCTAATTAGATCAAACTTCGGGATAGAACCCATACTTACCAAAAGCAAGCATGCCGATTTATTGCATTAATGAAGTGTACGTTTATATTTCATAATTTTTTATAGCAATAGTTGACAAAAGTATTACCATTATTTCACTATTGTCAAAATAGCTGTGTAATATTTTCTTTAAAATGGTTTTTACAACTTATGTAAAGCGTAATGGACAGTTTTAGAATTAATTGTGTACCAGAACTCAAAAGTTTCATTTAAAGATATGTAAAGGTGTTTAAAGGCATTTAAAAAGTTATTAAAGATATTTAAAGTCATGTCAGATTATCGAGCTATTAACAAGTTTTGCTTGGTATTTGCTGTCAATTTGCCATTGTACTGTACCGTATATGTTCTTGTTAAATTTTCGCCATCTGTTTACTGTTAGAAAATTTTATTCGGTTTCTGTCTTAAGATTTGTACTCATTTTATGATTTGCACTTATTTTATGAGCGCAAGTTTTGTTGTTTTTGTTGCTATTTTATAAATATCGATTTAATTAACTGATTTTGCATTAAAATTTATTGCATTTTTGCTAAGGAAATTTGTTGCAGATGCTTGACAAAATATGTTTTTCTCAATATAATCCACATAATATTAAAAAATAATAAATTCGAAAAATTTTGACTTGTGTCATTTTCCTTACAAAGTGCAATATTTGACAGAGAATGTAAATTCAGAAATAGACAGTATTTTAAATTTAAAAAATACCGTATATTATAGAAAATAATTTCGAGAAAGATTTTTAATACTATTGTCTCTCTTATTCTTTAGTTAAATGTTCATTCATTTTACTTTACAGAGATTTGGAAGATCTAATCATGCATTCTATCGATGATGATGATGATGACGATATGTTTTGTCATAAAGAACGTATTAGATTCATTTAAAAATATCGGTATAGCATCCTTTTATTTTATTAAATCGTGCAGTTAATTAATCGCGATTTTAAACTGAATGAGTACAATATATCACATGGTACAAAAGAGAGACAGAAAGTCAGGAGACAGAAACTAGAGTCACGATGTTTACGATAGAGGTTGACATCGTGTACGTGTGACAATGAATGCACTAAAAGTAACATTCAGAGAATGCATTCTCAAAAATTGATACTGCGAACTCACGTGTGACGTAGCTACGGGGATATCGAGTAATCGACGTTACCACAGACAGAATGGATGCTTACCTACAACTGCAGATCGTACGTTCAATTGTGATTTACCTAAAGCGAGTCACGTATACGCGCTTAATTGGCTCACCATGAGGAACAACTTGCGCAATAACTCGGAGGAATCCGACATAAGCAACATCACAATTTACGAGTCTGTTTTAATCGCGCAAGGCCACACTGCTGATCAAATGGCATGACATCCGTTAGCCCGTGGTGCGCTAATTAAGCTACTCCGTTTGAATGGGCTATCTTGAAGGGGTACAACGCTACTTATCCGAAATAATTATTAAGTAGTGCAGCGTAACAACTCTCCACAGAAATAGATCAATTTTGACATACATGGAAATTAAAAATAACAAAATATTATTTAACTCAAGGGATCATTGTTCCCTTGATACCTAGTAGGTAAACAATGCATCGACGCAAAATATAAGTCAAATGTTGAAAAGAACCAAAAATTAAACTCAATGAGATTTTCATTATTTCAAGGCAAACCAAAAAATTTTTAAAGTAATGTAACGTATTTCGATATTTTTTATGAAATTCTTCCTATGGTTACAGAGTTTTCGCTGCACTACTTATATCTCTCTCCATAAGGGTTTATTTTAAGGAAAGGAACAATACTACTTTCGACCAAAACAATTAGCTCAAACGGGCTAGAGGCAACGTGCGTTCGTTCATTTCAAGTCGTCCAATAGACTGTCTATCACGAACTTTATACACATTCCATCACGAACGATCACAAGCCACAAATGCTATTTTCGCGGACAATATTTTTTTGCGCAAAACTTCCTTTTAATACACATCTTTCAAAGTAATTCATTTTGGGGTTTCTATGTAACTCATTGGGGTTTCTACGTATAAGTACATATGACTACGATTGCAATGGCAAGCTATTATACTCACGTCAACGTCGCCCATCATCTCTTTGGTAGAAACAGTGGTATCGATACGTCGAATACTGCCTTGATGTATATCCACGTCGAGTTTCACCAATTGGAATCGTCGTAAAAGGAAAACGATCGGAATCGGAGCGATTCCTGCCAAAATGATGATGACGGCAATACCCAGCACCCAGCCAGGATAACTCGTGGGCTCTGTCTCACCCTAAGAACAAAGCCGAAATATTATTACGATGATACGATTACATATAAAAGATTATATATTTTAATTATATATTTACACAGTTGGAAAATTTGTGTTAAATTTAACACATTTTATGTATCCCAAACTGTATAATCTTACCGTTGCCGCATTCCACGCCGAATATTGTGGTTTCTTGATGAACATGGAAATGATGCTAAACACAAGGATGCAAAGCATTATTATGGGAGCGAGAAACCGCCACGTGACTTGCCAATAAGCTCCAGGTTTATATCCGGTCATCTCTTCGATGTCCTTCGTAAATCTGCATAGCATTCGCGCGATTAATCCGTTAATCTATATATCTCATTTGGAGAAGAGAATCTTGGTCGTGGAACGCTCAACTTACTTTTCGTGACCGTACACGAAAATCACAGAGATCATTTCCATTAGGGCGACTATAACGAGACCGATGGTGCCGGCGAAACTATCAAACATCTTCAGCCAATATTCTCCGGCGCCAGTACAGAAGATGAGCCCAACGAAGAAGCATACAACGCAAACAACTCCTGCAATTGTAAGTAAAAATTGTCACAACTAAAAAAATGATTCTTTGCATTATGACACGAAAATAATAAAAATGACATTTGATTATGTTAAAAATATATTCCTTTTATATATCGATATTATTTAATTAAAAATTAAAATCAATAAATTTTTTAAAAAGCCATAAATAACTCGATTAACTTGGGAATAGTCATCTCATTTTTTACGCAGAAGATTATCTTGTATATTTTTAAATCTTAATTAAAATCTATTATTAACTATTATTAACAACATATTATATATTATTAATTACTTTCCGATTTATTAATCGGATTTGATAGTTACTGAGAAAGGTTCATGAACAATAGTTAAAATAGAAAGAAAATATGTTAAGAGCAATATTCATACAAAAGCAATATTTTATAACAATTTATATTTTCTCGTCGCTAGGATATAAAAACATTTCAGGTTAAAACTATTTCCGGGTTAAAACGGATATAATTTTATCAGTGCAGTGGTTTTTATCAACTTTCATCAATAGATCGCGCTCACCTGTCATATATTGCTTCTTTATTCTTTTGAAGAGATCTATTTCGAAAATTACGCAGAGCATACCCTCGAGTAGTCCGATTTGCGAACCCAAGCCGAGGGCAAGAAGCATCATGAAGAAAATGCAAGACCAAAACGGAGCACCCGGCAATTCCACGATTGCCTGTGTAAAGATGATGAAAGCCAGTCCGGTGCCCTCGGCAGCCTATGCGAAAATCACTTAATTATTTCACGATCATACGCTGAACGAATTTGTGGAACTATTATTACTCACGTTGTCCAATTCCTTGCTGAGACTGCATGATTTCATCGTAAAATTCATTGAAGAATTGTAGGAGGTGCTCATAAAGAGTTCGTAGTCCTCGAGGCTGAATGAGGTCGAATTAGGCACTAGCCCATTTTGTATCAGGGTATCCCTCGCACTAAAATAAAAGCGATTTAACATATCTTCTGTGTGTCCCTCTGTTCTTCTTCGCCAACGATCAGTATATCCCGTCCCGTCCCATTATATGACTCGATCCCTCCCGTTTCTAAATGCTCAACCATCGACACGTCTGACACTTGCAATCTAATTAAATTAAATTGTAATGTACCTTCAAGTATACATTAAGTGACTGATTTTTACAGTTTAATTTCAAAGTACTATCAACATAAATTGTTATATATTACTCATGTAGCTTCTTTTGCACAATTTAATTTAATTACGACTTCTGCTAACATGCGTTATTATACATTAATAGTGCAACTAGTAAAAGCGTCGACACGCATATCTTCTATCTCGAACAAGCGGCAACAGCTATCATGGTCGTTTAAAGACACATCTCCGCAGCCGTGGACGTTTTTTTCTCACTACCCTCTTCGCGATGGCGAATTTAGAAACGATGGCCGCGCTTGCGGTCGCATTACCTGACGACGCACTTGTCCACGTTTGACATTGCCTTGAACCCCAAAATGGCGAAAATGACAACGCTCGCGTAAATGGCAGTAAACGCGTTGCACACGCTCACCAGGATCACGTCCCTCACGCAGTGGTTGTCAGGAGTATTGTAGCTGCCAAATGCTATCAGGGAGCCGAACGCCAGCCCGAAACTATAGAAGACCTGGGTCGCCGCGTCAAGCCAGACCGTGGGCTCCAACAATTTCTCGACCTTTAATAAAAGAAATAAAGTAAATATCTAATGCCCGGCATTTCGCTTTCTTTGATAAAGTCGACCCCGACTGAAATCGATCGTCACCTTTGGCGTGTACATGTGCGCCAGTCCGGCGCTTGCTCCTTTCAACGTTATCCCGCGGATGAAAAAGATGGTTAGTACGAGATATGGGAACATTGACGTAAAGTATACTACCTGGAAGAAAAGATAATTTGTTATCGCAATAATAAACTTCATTTGTGCGAAATCAATTTCTTTATAGCACAGTTAATTGTTCATTTCTACTAATATCAATTGACTTTAATGAAACTTACTTTTTATCTTTCTCTAGTATTAATATTTAGGAAAAGAATAAATCAAATCGAGATTAAAGTTAATCTACATTGGTAGAAATGGACAATATTAAAAGTATTGAGTAATCACTATTGTGACCGTTTTTATTTATTAGATTAATATTATATTTCTTGTTCAAAAGATAGGATTCTGATATTTTTTGCATTTTCAATAATTATATCCTTTATATACTAATAAAACATTTGATTTTTCATTACTTTCTTTATTTTTATAGTAATTTTTTCTCTTGATCCTTTAAATGAATATACAAGCATTAATACTTTGATTGTTATTTCTAATATTAATTGACATTGAGGGAATCGGTTCTAGGCATATATTATGGAACTTTTCGGAATGGATTCCGATGAAAATTATTCCATTTTCCCTAAATAATAGAAACACAATAGAAATTCGGACAGCATAATAGAAGTCTAGGGAATAATTGAACAATTTCGATCGGAATCCATTTAGATTAGTTCCATAATACGTGTTCTTATCTATTTCATTCAGCTTACTTTGCCGGACGACTGTATTCCTTTCATGACGATGAAAAACACGACAACCCAGCTGAGCAAAAGACAAAGTACGATCCACCATTTGAGACCTTGGCCATCCTCAATGGACGGTGCCGCATCCAAAGTAGTCCTGTACCAAAAATACGCGGTCTCCGAACTTTTGACACATTCCTCGACCGGTTTCCCGTCCAATACCGGGCATTTTGCCCACGGCAGTGATTCCTAAATTGCGCCAGAATATGCAAATAGATCATCAATATACGCTTTAACGAGCATGCATGCTGTTATTGCGTTGTAAAAGCTGAAGCGGTACTTTGAGCGCTGAATTGAGAGACCGATATTGTAACAAAATTTACATATTATAGCTCTGTTATGCAATTTATGTACAATAATCTCACTAACTACAGCAACATAATGCAATATTGCTCATTACTTACAAGAAATTGGTACTTACGCCAAATTTGATCGTGATGGCCTAATTAAAACATGAAAAAAAATTAATATCATTAATAGTTCATAAATTTACGAAAAATATTAACTCTAATTTGTATTCGTGGATTTAGTGAATTCAGATAATTACGCGCCAAACGTTGTGAAAAATTTTTAACAATATCTTACAATATTTTAAAATACACAATTAACACAATCTTATTCCTCGGATTTTTACTTTTACAATAACAAAAAAATTAAAGTTATTAATTTAAAGTACTCTGGATTCGCAAATACCAGTTTAAAAAATTTCAAAACGAATACCAATTAGAGTTAATAATATACATATATATTTACGAAGACGCCATTAATAATTATATTTAAATGTAACATTTTATAACATTTGAATTAAGGTAGTATCATCGTAAAAAATTTTAATTAGTAAATATTAAATACTAAATCTTTTTAATTTTTGCTTGTAATTGACAAATTTCTTAATTTCCTTTTCATTTTTCTCGCGTCTCTATAGTGTTTTAATAGAAATATAATTTTTATTGAAAGACTGGCAGATTTTAAACACTTTGTGTCATCGTAAGCGACGTCTTTCATTACTTATTTAAGTCTAAAGACTAAACTATAGAGCAGTGGAGAGGGAGAGAGTCACTTAAGATGTCTCGACGCAGATTACCATGGCGTCAATCGGTGTTACGAACCTTATCGATCTGCTTACCTCGACCGAGTTGAAGAGGTAGTAGACGCACCAGGTAATAATTACGTTGTAGTAAAGCGCAACGAAAAACGTCACTATACACGACGCGATCCCTATACCACCTAGCCAAGGGTGTATTGTGTTCCATACTCCCAGGGCACCCTGCCGCATACGTTGTCCGAGACCCAACTCGATTAAAAAGAGGGGTACACCCTCCAGGATAAGCATCACGAAAAAGGGAATGAGGAAGGCACCTGAAACATATACACATGTACAAATATAGCTTTAATCAATTTTTAAATTTGGCATTATAGATGCCCGGTATATTAAAAAATTTCACCGAAAAATCTAATGTAATTGTATATAAATGTACTCTATAATTTTTTTATCAAATCGTATTTACACGTGTCTCTTAGATTTATTAATAAAATTAAGTAGATATTTCATTCTTTTCTACTTTACAATATTATCTCATCCGCTTGTTTGCATCCCCGGTTTCTAACAAGGTCCTCTTTCTCTTTGCCTTTGGATGTCTAGTTTCGCGGTCGTAAAGAGAGCTGGAGCGCCTTGTATTGATCGAGTAACCTAAGTCCTAACCCGTTCAGCCACTCTACTACTTCAACGATTTTTTTGGTATTCATACACAAATTAGAATATAAGGGGAAAATCACAAGTTGGAAGATGTTAAAACGCAAAAGTGTTGATGTTATATGCACGTAATAGTAGAAAAATGACAGTGATGCTTTTCAGTCTAGTGATTAATTATATCCTGATTGTAGCGTTTTAAATATTGACGCTGATATTTGATTTATTATTAATCTTCCATTGGCAGTATGAACTTTTCACCTTTCAATCCGCTTGAATTTTCGAATTTTAGTATAGATTTTTATATGTAGGCGGAAAAAAGTTTTTTGCTGAAGTATATAAAAATTTAGCTAGATACAGATCTGGAAATAAATTTTGTTGGACTACCAAAATAGTTACGTAGAACGTTTAAATTAGTTGCTAGAATGTTAAAATTTTTTGTAGCATTGCTCATCGTGCTTAAGTTTTTTACATAATTATTTTAATGGTTCAACAAAATTCCTTTCATATCTATATCTACCTTAATTTGTAGACGTTTTATTTTCAAAATTATTCTTTTCGCTTACTGTTCCAGACTGTACAAAAATCTAAAAAAAATTTTTATTTTTGAAAGCTTTAACAAGGAGTTTTTATTATCATCATAGAAGTTTTACATTTTACTTACTTTTTACAGATTTAAATTTATCCACCAAAATTCTCAACAAAAAATCGACGGTGCCTTTAAAGTTTAACATTGCCGGCGAAGGATTAATAGAAATAAAGGCTAAAATTTTGATAAGTAGCCGAACAAATTGGACCGTGCAAAGAAACGAGTGCATAGGACATCGATCTCGATCGTAATTCTCACAGGTCCTCACGAGTTTTCTAATAACACGATGCTATGCGGTAATTGATGTGTCGTTTAACACCTAAATGGCTCGTAACCCAAGCTCTCTGTGTTTAAAGCCGTTATTAGAGCCTGTGTTAGAGCTGCGAACCACACAACGGCAGATGTTAGGTCGCGTGCTTTCTGTTATACAGTGGTATGGATCGATCGATGGGCGTTCAACAACGCGGACGTGGAAGCGGACGCGGTACGTCGCAACGAGGAAATTTCCATTGAAAGCCGAGCCTCTGACTCGTTTAACTTAAAGGTGTGCGTACCCACGTGGGACTAAAATCATGAAATTCAAGACATTCGTCGACATTGACCTACAGCATAATTTCTTGTGCCAGTCGTGTTAGTCGATAACAATTCGTGTCAATGTGCAATTAACGCATCTGTAAATTTTAACAAAATTTAGCAAGTTTTTAAAATTATGTTAACTATACATATAGTAAAATGCAGAACTGCACTGCTAAATTTATGATATCAAATTATACCCAATTTGAATTATTTTTAATTATTCCTCTAAATCACCATTGCTGCTATTCAATATATCGTTAATTTAACTAAAACAAATAGAGAGTTGAATAATTCAATTAAATAAATATATTATATTTGATTCAAATTTAATGGACGTTGTTTACTTTGAAATTAATAACAGAAATATATTGATTTATATTTTGAACTCACATGAAAGTCAAAAATAAATGTTATTTAATTAAAAATTCAAAGGATTGATTTACCACTATTCTTTTGATATCTAACAATAAATAGAAGCTTCCTCATCTTAAATCTATTCCTTTTAAAATTGGGTCTATGGTCGAAAGTGAGCCTCTTCGGTATCGCGTGTATCTGCGTCTGAAATTGAATCCAGCGAAATCACGGCCCTGTTTAATTCTGGATCTCGATCGTAAGTGGGGTGCCTGGTACTTTTAGGCGAAGATATTACCCTATGGCAACGTAAGGTAGACTTTAGAGCAGCACGATAATCTCGTAATTGGAAACTCGATCTGCGCAGTTGCTAACCGATATGATTTCGGCGTGTATAAACTCTGGCGTCATAATCACGCGAGAGCCACCCGTGCACTTCTCGTGACCTACCTCTGCGAAAATAGACATATGTTAAATAGCCGCTCGTTCATTCGTGATTGATAAGAAGGGCTATACCTTCCGAAATGGCGAGCTTAAAATAATTCAAGATAGGCTAGTGAAATTTTACGGACTCTTTAACGGACTTTCCATCCGAAAAATTCACGCTTGAAAAATCTGTCCACATTGCCTGCATACGCGTTCATATTTCACGCGAACAAAATGCCATATTGCTACTGACACTTATAGTATGTCTAGTTGCAGTTGGTCGACCTTTCACGTTATGTTAAATTAAATCAGGTGTAATTTTGAACTATCTTTATCTCGATGAATAACATACCTATGTCTCTTTTGTATTGATTCTATATCACTTTATTTCGTTTGTCGTGACATTTTTGGAGCATTGAAAATACATATATAATATTAATAATCTGAATTGCGTTATTTTATAAATATTTTTGTAGCATTCTTTTTTACAACCTATGTAAACGACGTGATTATAAATGCAACGTTCATGTTTTCTCTGGAAGATTCATTAACTTCCACTTACTGAACGAGAAAGAGTCTATAGATTCTTGTGCAAGTATACCTTTCACATCAGCTACTTTACACATACCCGCAACTTTTCCACGCAAAAAATGCATTTAATAAAAAAATGATACGTTAGCAACATGAAGCACACGCCGTCTATTTTCGATTAAATTAAACGTGTAATGAGGAACGGCTAATTAAAGCAAAGTCACAATTTATTATAAAAATCTGTTAGAAGAAGAAAATTTATTATAAGAAGAAAAGACTTAATAGAATATTTGTTTAGAAGTAAAACATCGGTAGAGAGTATAATTGATAAAAGTCTATAAAATTTAAAATAATTAGAATTAATGTCATTTAGAGGTGTTCAATTATTAAAAACAGAAACATCAAATAAATTCAGGTCAAATAAATTTGAACGAAACTGAAGAGTAATGAAAATTGAATAAGTCACTCTCAGCTAAACTATTCATCATGAATTATAATACATCGCCAATCGTAATTTGGTATATTAATTTTTCAGTTCGCTGTGGTGCCGAGTATGCTTTATTGTGTATGTATATTAGATGAAATTCCAAAGAAATAAGAAGAAACGAAATGATATCTTAGGCTGATTCGAATATAACTGCGATATATCACGAAAATTTTGTAATATCTGCTGCGAGTATAAATCGCGAAAATAATCGATAGGAAAATGCGTCTCTAAAGATGGGAGCACGCGAAATATTTCGTCGCAGTTATATTTAACCCCGGCGGGGAATACCTGAAAATAGTCGTTGACTAGTATAGTCATACTGGTTCCACTGCCCTCATATCGAGCAGCCTTGTCCTTGCTCTTTTTCGCTTTACATCCAACGTAGAGCATACTGGCGGCCGTAAGTTGCATAAACTATTTCCAATGCTACATGCAACATTACGGTATACATCCTGGTATGCGTCAACACTTGTCGCGTATCGAGCAACCCGATATGAATAATTAATTTGACTAAACATGTTTTACATTTCTCGAAAAATTGACTTATTCAAATTTTTTCACAGATAATAAAGAAACTTTATACTTTCTTTAATCGAGTGCTACATATTTAACTAAATTTTTAACAATACTTCAGCAAAACCGTTTTTTTTCCTATGTGTATAATATGCAGAAATTTTATAGCTTCTAGTTTTGTGTAATTCGTAATTTTAGGTAGATAATTTTTATATAAATATTATTTAATTTACTATCAATACTTTCCTTGAACAAATATAATCTTGCAAGCACTGTAGACCTTGTCGCTTCATTTTATACGCATATACGTCAAAAAAAAAACACGTTGTTACCTTAACAGTGCATTAATGTGGTTGCTACATAGAAGATATACATATATCTATAATGTATATAGACATAGGTAATAGGTATATATGTCTTGTATACATGGGAAGCTGGAGAGTTTATCTAGCTATCCGTTGACACGCACACGGTTCAAGAACACCCCATGGTGTCGCCTGCTACACGAAGGTCGTAAAAATAAAAACATATAGCTTACTAATAATAACAAGCAGGCATAAATATTAACATGATATTTGTTTTATATTTACGAATAAATTCCAATTGTTATAATCTGTTATTCTCTTCTTACATTCAACTTACGTTCCGATTTTTATTTTCGCCATTTAATAAAATGATACATTTAATATTACATTTAAATTTACTCTATCTGTGCATCGCGATTAAAGTTTGTTCTTTGTGGCTGAACTGGTTGCACTTAAAATAAAATAGATATGTATTTAAAATACATATCTATGTATTTATATATGTAATATGTAATAAAAAACAAGACCTAATTCTATATATCGAACCCCATTAATACTTACCACCTCCGTTCTGTTGGCACAGATAAGGAAACCTCCAGATATTACCCAGACCGACGCTGTATCCAATAATACTGAGAAAAAATTGCATTTTCCCGCTCCACGCCGCCCTGTTCTCTTCCTTCGTTTCCTGACCAACAACATTTTGAGTTGCTGTCGCCACGATCGTCACGTTGTGGCCGGGTTGGCGGTGGTTGTTCAAGGGAGCCAGCTCGTGCCCATTTCTTCCGGTCTCGACTACCATTCTCCTGTGGGTCTCGATGGGTACACAATGAATCGATCACTCCTCCCTGCGGGTGGTGTACTTAATTGAGATCTTTAGCACACTCTTCGTGTTTGTTTGCCAAGCTCACTCGGCGCGCGACCCCAACGCGCTTCTCTTCTCCACTTCCTGCCGCCTGTTTATTTCCTTTTCCTCGAGTACACGCGGATTCCGATCTCACCGTTTGTATCTTCGTATGAAGTTAAAGAATCCCTAGAGTTAAAGAATCCCGGTCCCCTTCTCTTCACTTTCTCTCCTTCTCCACACGAGAGATTTGGCAGAAACACGCTTATCTAACACCGTCCGCGCGTTCACGTACCCCTCACTGATACCACTACCACTATCACCGCCACACTGTTCATCGACTTCAGCGGGAGCGGATGAGCAGCGGACGTACAGCAATAACGGGGATATAACAATAAAGTTAATATAACAATAATAACAACAATGTCAACAGTAGTTATCTCTTCACTATTTATTCGTAATGTTAACCAGCGTCCGCACTATGGCGTCCGAAAAAATACTGAGATCGGTCTCTCCCTCCTCGAGAAGTAACCAGCAACAATTTGTTTCTTAATATTACGCATACACCCCTTCCCGACGACGAAAGGAATGGTTTTTTATTCGAGTTCCGTTCGTTCCTTTTTGATACGTGTGTGCCCCGATAGTACTCCTTATTGACTGTTTGCGGACGCATACGCGACCGCGTAGAAACAGGCTGCGGTAGGATGGTAAGGACGCGAAGTACGAGGAAGGATACGTCATAGGGTAGGACCTATTCGCGAAATGGAGTGGGTGGCACGTAGGCGAACCGATAAAAATCGAGCACCGGCTGACGAACGACGTTACGAGGGAACCAATGGATCACGTGCTATAGTCCTCGCTGTCAAAGGATACCAACGGGGTTGAGGGATACGCGGGATTTTAACTCGCACTATCTGACATTGATGGAAGAAGCGACCAGTTGGTTGCGAAAGGGGTTGGCGCACCTAACGTTTGGAAGCAATCGTAGCGTGAAAAACGGAGTGAGAGAGGGAGCGAATGAAAGTACGCGTGTCGTTAATAGCCGCCGTCGGGACGAAATATCGATCGATCTTCCGCGCGGAAGTGAGACACCGAAATGAGGGAGAGCGGTAGAGAGAAGGAGAGAAGAGAGCAAAAGAGGGATAAAGAGAGAGAAAGGGATGAAAGAAAGAGGGACGAGAGGTTCTAATTTCTGGCTTCCCGAAGCAGCGGTGATACGACGTTTGAGATTTAAAGTAGCTCGATTTTCACAGAGGGTGGTTCTCGTCAGCCCTTAAACTCTCTTCGGCGCCTCTTCAGTTTCGGTCGAAATCAGCGTCTTCCCGCTTCGTTCTCGTTTCATAAGTCAGATTCCTTTAAGTCGCTGCCGTTTTCGAGTCGATGTGGGTGGAAGTCATGAGTCCAGAATCATAGTTGGTCTCCCTCGGCCCAACTCTGCGCACGAGGAAGACGTGATCGCCGACGTCAATGTTGCCCCTCTCGTCGTTGTCGTCGCCACCGCCGCCGCCGTCGCCGTCGCCGCCGCCGCCGTCGTCGTCGTCGTCGTCGTCGTCGTCGTCGTAGTCGTCGTCGTCGTCGTCGTCGTCGTTGTTATCGTTGTTTCAAATTTGGTATCAGAGAATATATTATCTGCCAGTTTATTACTTAAACTTGGCAATCTTCGGACGGGTCGGACTGACGTCGTTGCGGATACGCGTGTGTTGAAGAGCAAGACTTCTGAGACCTTTGGTACCCATGTATACCACTCCTCACTCCACCGCGTCGTGCCCAGTATCCGCGTTTCCTCGATTCGTCGATCTCGTTGCTCTAACTCTTCGTTTCCGTCAGTAGGAATTGCGAGAAACGCAGACGGCTAGAAGCCCGCGTAAAATTTCGCAGCGTGCGCGGTGGCTCAGTGAATAATGCGCCTCGTACGAACGTCGATATCGGACTGAGCCAACACTGGTGCGCGACGATGTGCGCGAGGGAACGGACCTACAGAACGGGAACCTCTGGAGCGACATCGACGTCTGTACAATACGACGAAGGTTCGTTCTACCGGTGGTCCGGTCCCCCGATTGGCCGTGGTAATTGTGTACGTATGCGCATACGCCGGCCGACCGATCCCTTTTAAACGGTGAAGAGCCGGGTAGCGCGAGCGTTGTTATCTTATTATATTATAGAGTAGAAGAGGTAATCGTTTGTGTAAAATGGGGTGCAAATATTTCAGACACCAAAGTGTGATTTTTTCTTCCACGAAAAATTCAAATTGTTAATAATACAGATAATATATGAATGTAATCCATTGTACATTTAATTATTATTTTATCATATTATAAAACAGTTATAGGGCATAAAACGTAACGGTGCATAAAATGGGGTGGAGACATTAAACTGCGATTTTTTTTTCTACACGAAAGGTTTTTCTAAAGTATCTAAAATTTAGCTAAGTACAGATCTGAAAATAAGTTTGTCAGATTATCAAAATATTTATGTAGGACACTCAAACTCTTGTTGGTAGAATATAAAATTTTTACATCATTGCTTATCATGTTTGAAAGATTTTTCTATGCAATTATTCTGCTCAATAAAATTCTTTCAAATTTGTATCTAGCTAAATTTTTGGATACTTCAGCAAATCGTTCTTTCCTTGCACAGAGTATTTAAATTTCAGATATAATCCTATTATACAATTAATTATGCACATCGAAATTAATAAAGAAATAAATTTTGAAAATGATTAAGCATCTGATTAATTTTTATCAGTTGTTAACAACTTGCCTGATAATCTTAGCTAACTTTTCTCAACGAAGCCCGCTTAAAGATGACGCGCGCCAATGCAAATTTAGAGATAAACCGCTATACGCTAATTTGCGTCATAAATCATCATTAAAACGCATCGCGAATAGTTTTGTGTGCATATTCCTATTGATCTTTTAGCACTCTAGATAATGAAAATGTTTTTCTTTGTTGTTTACGTTTCAATGACGTGCATTTCGACACGGCTCATTTGAACTTGGCGGGTCTTTTCTGGGATGGTGTGAGTAGTTCAAAACTGACAAACCGGCTCATCGATCGGATTGTTGTTCCACTAAGAGGTAGTATAGATACGCGCAGCTTCCCACGCGTCACCGTTTCCGCTTCGATCGAAAGCATCCTCGTAACTAAGCGTCCCTCCTACATTCAGCATCTTAATCCTCAAACACTTCATCTTTCCTTTGACAAAAACAAGCAATTCTCTCTCTGATAATTGCGTAACGCAAATCCTTAGCGAATTGAAGTTCACGTACATCTCTAAATATCTCGAAATTAATCGAAGACGGTTATTCAAACAGAACAGGTCACAATAACGTCGGAAAGATGTTAAAACAAATCGTACTTGTTTTGAGGAGTGATTTTTAGTAATTATTTTGGAGCCATTTAGATGTCATGATGACTTGTGTTCTCTCTCTGTTTAGATTAGGAACAAAATAAATAAATCCGGTTTTTTCTTCTCGTATACTTCTGTTTATTGTACCTACTTTTGTATGTATTTCATATATTTGTAATCAAAATGATATTTTGCCCTTCATTCCTTCTTGGCAAAATTCTTTAGATTCTTGGCGAGCTCATGACGTCTGTGACTAAAGCCGGTCACAATCATTCCGTGACGTCATTCGATGCTATAGTTACTATCTCTAGACGACAAAACGTTTCACGAGACCTACCCAAGCTTGTATACATATATACATATGCGGATATATACATAAAGGCGGGTCAGTCAGTAGCTTCGAGTTACGTAAGCGGTCGCATAACCTTTCGACCTTGTTCTCGAGTTCTTTACTGTCGGGCTGCTCCACACATCACCGTTTACTTGATTTGCATCAAATAACATTAATCGGTATATGTATATTCATAACTGCGTCAGATGCATGACAGTAACGGCCCTCGCAACATATATCTGCTTTGATTCTGCGCTGAGTAAAGCTTTGATCTTCGCGTATGTCGTATAAATGACTGAAACTTTTAGTAGAAACGTAAAATATTTGAAAAAATATTCTAGAAAATGTGCTTACAATTAGTTATGCGCTTTTTGAACATTTAACGTTGAGTCGTTTAGAAATCCGAGATATCGCCTATCTTTCTTTCCGCCGATACACCTGCACTGATTATGGCACGCCAATGTCGCGAGTGGTGCTTGCATAATATCATGTAAACCTTGAAAGCAATTGCCCGTCTACAAATCAATTCGGACAGCTAGAGTATTAACGAAGAAATATATTGAATTATACGAGTCTCGTCAGATTATGTGTACATTATATACAGTATTACAATACATTACATCATAATGCAATATATACATGGAGAAATTACGCTTTTAATAGGCATATGTTTTAATAAGATAAAAGAGGATGTTAAATTCTTGAAATAAATAAAATAATGAGATATAATATTCTCATTTGTAGCTTCATGTTTATAAAATTTATTTTAATGACGTTATGTATTACGCACATAGCATATATTACAATTCCTTCTAATAATAGTCTGTATTTTTATGTTAATAATTTATGTCATGTATACGGACTTTAACAACGTTCGCTATTGTTGCAAATAATTCGAATTGCCGATAGAAATAAAGACTATTTGGACAACAACGTTATACAATATAATGACGCGTGCACGTAATGAGTAATACATGTCCTTGCTGTTCAATGCACCATGCTGAATGTGGTGAACGAACGAATGACGGTGATGTTCGTACCAAATGGCGCACAGGATACGTGCGACCTTTCTTCCTGTTTACAAGAGTCCAGCTTTTATTTCTTTTTACACATCACAGGAATTGTAATACGTGTCAGAATTGAAGAGCTCACGGTGAATAGATCGCCGATCTCGTATTTTACTATGCACATCTTTCGCATGTAAGATAAGGACATAGGTACCTATACGCTCCTACCTTTACCATCCATCTAACATCGCATACTAAAGTGGTTATACAAGCCCATCCTCACAATGGTCATTCAATTTCTTTCTACGGTCCAAAGCATTTTCGTACTATTATTCTGAATAGCACCGCATCCCTTGGAAGTAAATCCGGATTATGAGAACCCCAAACCGGTAACGGACCTATTCTACGAAATTCTCACGATGAAATATTTGATACTTGACATTGAACATTGTATCTCAATCGTATTTTAAATTTTTTAGAAAAAATAAAGAAACAAAAATGTTGAAAATGTTTTCGATTCATTAAGTTTGTTGCAAATTTATAATGTCATTGTTAAATTCATAATATCAAATTTTAAGTACCTAATTTGAATCATTTATATATATATATATATATATATATATA